GAGCCGTGATTTATCTGCGAATCGTTACGCGCGACGGCGTCGGGGTCCGATTACTGTGCGCCAAGTCTAAGGTCGCCCCGCTTCGCCCCCTCACCATTCCCCGTCTGGAGCTCTGCGCGGCTCTGCTCTTGTCTAAATTAATCGCGTACGTCCGGCGCACCCTCCGCGGACACCTTGACATTGACGACGAGTATGCTTGGACGGATTCCGAGGTCGCCCGGGCCTGGATCCGCTCAGCACCACAACGGTGGAAGACCTTCGTTAGAAATCGCGTTGCCCTCATTCAGGACAACGTGCCGGTATCAGCTTGGGGTCACGTCGACACGGAGTCCAATCCGGCGGATCACTGCTCCCGCGGGCTTTATCCTCGCGATCTGGTGGCCTGTTCGATGTGGTGGGCAGGCCCTGAGTGGCTTGTTCGCTTCGAACCCAGTTGAGCCTTCCCACGATTCGGAAACCCCTCCGATCGAGGAGGAGAAAATCGTATCGCTCGTGGCGCTCGAGCCGCCTGACGCGGTACATTCATTGCTCGAAAGATTCTCATCAATCGAGAAAATTGGCCGAATTATAGCATACATTCTCAGGTTTGTACATCACTCCCGTGCAAAATCTGCTCCTACGACTTTGGCCATAGATCAGCTCGAACTGCATTCCGCGTTACTACTCGTTGTGAAGAGTGTACAGGCGGATGCTTTCCGCGATGAGATCGATCGTCTTCAAAGCGGGAGAAGGCTCCCCAAGCCCTTTCGCAAACTCGCTTCCTTCCTTGATCCGGTGGGTATTCTCAGGGTGGGCGGCAGGCTTGCAAAATCCGGATTGACATTCGAGAACAAGCACCCTGCCTTACTGCCCTGTAAACATAGACTCACAGATCTCGTTATCGAACACGTGCACCGCACGAACATGCACCCTGGTCGGCGCACGCTGCAGTACCTGCTCACGCAACATTATTGGGTCCTCGGGGTGCATCGCGCTATACAACGCGTACTCTCGAGATGTCATCAATGTTTCCGCGTAAAGCCACACACCTCTCAGCCCCTCATGGCGGAACTACCGGCCGATAGGGTCCGACAGGCCAAGCCATTTTCGATCAGCGGCGTGGATTTCGCGGGACCGTTCAACATAGTCACGCGACGAGCCCGGGGGGTCTCCTCCGTCAAAGTGTACGCGTGCCTTTTCGTATGCTTTTCGGTTAAGGCGGTGCACCTGGAAGCCGCCTTCTCGTTGTCCACCGACTCCTTCCTCGCTGCGCTGCGACGCTTTGTGGCCCGACGCGGACGCTGCTCGCTTCTCTACAGCGACTGCGGAACGAATTTTGTAGGGGCCGCACGGGAACTAGAAAGCCGCATGGGCCTCGCAGCGGAGCGAGAGAAGATCAAGTGGTCCTTTAATCCTCCCTCCGCGCCCCACTTCGGGGGCCTCTGGGAGGCGGGAGTCAAGACCTTTAAAACCCACCTGCGGCGGACCGTGGGTGATCAAGTCCTCTCAATAGAGGAATTCACGACGGTCCTCGCGCAGGTCGAGGCCGTCCTGTATTCCAGACCCCTCTGCCCGATGAGCGCCGACCCTACCGACCTCGAAGTCCTATCGCCGGGTCACTTCCTCACGATGGAACCGCTCGTCTCCGTTCCCACTCAAGACGTGACCCCGTTACCGATGAATCGGCTGAGTCGGTGGCAACTCGTCCAACGAATACACCAAGACTTTTGGAGGCGCTGGCATCAGGAGTATCTCCATACGCTGCAACAGCGTCCCAAATGGTGGACCTCAGTCAACCCGCTCGGTGTCGGTGCGTTAGTCCTCCTCAAGGACGCCAACATGCCTCCTCTGCGTTGGAGGCGAGGACGAGTGGAGGCGCTGCATCCGGGCAGCGACGGCGTCCCGCGTGTCGCCACGGTGCGGGTGGCGGACGGCACTATCACGCGTCCCCTAGTGAAGCTGTGCCCCCTACCGATGGGCCCTGCTCCACAGGCGACCGATTCAAATTGAAAATAAAATACAACTCGTTGTATTTTGGTGGGCGGTATGTTTGGCGCTCACCAAACTGTAGTTAGATGCATGTATTGTTTAGTCTCGTTACTCGTTGTACATAATATTCTTGCGTACCTAGTCTTAAGTATTTCGGTGACTCGCGCGAAACGTCGGCGGATCGCGATCAACGCGGAATCGATAATTGCGCGACTCACCAATCGGTGCTGCCCTCGCTCACCCCACGAGGGCACCCGCCTGCAGAACAAGTACTCGCTCGCGACACTGTTCCAGCGCCGCGAGCCCTCAGCACTCATCGTTACGCCGGCTCATCGTTACGACGTCTCATCGTTACGACGTCTCGGAGCACGGAGAGATTATCGGAGCAGAGAGACTTGTGCTAATATTCGGAGTCGCGAGATCATCCGCTCGCTCCCGGATAGTGCGATCGCCTACCTTCTCGGCCTGTCTGTGTGCTACCTTTACCTGCTTCCTCCTGCTTGCTTGCTGCCTGCCTTAACTTACTGCTGCCTGCCTCGCTTTCGCCTTGCTTGCTGCCCTGCCTGCGTTGCTGCACGAGCCCGATCGCGAACGAGACGAAGCCTCCAGGAGTCGACGGCACAACGAACGGTGAGTCGCATTTGTTTAACTTAACTTTCGCTTTGGGGAGACTTTATACATCTCCCCTGGTCCTTCGAGCTTCGCTTTATCGCAAATCCGGGTA